ACGGAAAGTAGCCAGACTGATCTGCGAGTGAAACCTTGAAAGCTCGCGAGATCAGGATGTTCTCACGAGGCTAGCAAAATTATTCAATTTGGCCATTGCACTGAAAATTTTTTAAATATCTGGCTCATTTTCCATACGATACAATACGAGAAAAGCCTAACTTGATTGTGATAAAAATTATTTGTCAGAATGAGAATGAAAAAGACTTTAAACTAATAAATGAAGGGAAAGTCATGCTCTGCTTTCATAGACAACAGAAGCCATCCGACCTGAAACACTGAAATCAAAGTTCAGGAATCACTTTTATATATTTTCTTAACCGAGTTCCTGTACTTTTAGATTAGATTTACCATAACAAATCTAAAGAGGTGAAAAAAAAACTGGAAAACCATGGAAAACATTTAAGGTTAAACCAATTAAGTTACAGAGTGACACAATGGCTTGGCTGAACAACTCAACTGAAAACATCCAAGGACTTTAAAAGCCCATCTGTGTGTGTATGTGTACCAAATGGGGTTAATTTATAGATGGTGTGTTTGGGGGGGGCTGCAATACTGCCAGAGAAAAGCTTCTATTGAATGAGTTCCATTAGCATTAGCTTTGGTTATAGCCTATCAAGGGGGGTGGGGGGACCTTACAGTCCTCCATTCAATTTGCATCCCATTATGTTGCTATGGCAGCCAAGCTTAAAGCAGTGCAGATATTTCCCACTGCACCACGAGAGGACTGGCGTGTTTGAATAAACATGTGTTCATGTGCACATACACACTTGGACATTTAGTTACATTGCAGAGGAGGAAATGAGCTCCTCATTCCGCTTTGATCTTGTGGCACATTTTTTCACATCAATTCAGTGTCTGTGGCTTTGCACGTGCCAAATTCATCAAAGGTGCCCCAATGTAAGAGAATCAAAGGCTGGCGGTTGTCACATTAGGAATACACGGGTTATCTAAAATTTGCAATTGCTTTGCTCTTTATTTTTGCTTGTATTTTCAGTAGATTCCTTAATCATTCAAGCATCATTATAGTCCTTTAATATTAATCAACCAGATCAGATGTTATTTCTATAAACTGTCAGTATGTCTTCCTTGTCTTTCACATACCTTTGTAAAAGTTTTTCCTATGAAGCTTGAGAACTTAAAATCTATACAGCCTGTTCTTTTTTTATATGAAGTTGACAGATTCAGGATCTCTCATCTTGTTCAGAGAAAATGAGTCGGTCTAGAACTGATGCGCTACTGAGTGGGCTAGAAAATAGGTTAAGCTGCTCTTTCATGACATTTTGATTGAAAGCTGAATAGATTTTAAGCATCTTTTTTCTTTATAGTGTGTCTGCTCTTGTCTATGTGAAAATGGGTATTTTTTTCACTCAAATATTCTCAGTTTCTGTCTGTGTTATGCTCTCAGTTCCTCTCCCTTTTTTCTCTTTTCCTCAAAGTATCTCTTCTTTGAATGGATGTGGAAACACAAACAGGCTGTGTCTGCCCAGTGGACCCTGTCGTTCTGCTTCCAACTTCTAGCCCTTTAACCTCCCTTAGATCTATACTTTTGTCAATAGCTTTAATGTCTAGCTTATCATACAGTTTTCTTTTTCTATTTTGGAGTCTGTGTTTTTTTCATTTTTTCTTTTCTTTTTGAAGAGTTATAACCATGTTCTATTATGTTAATTTGTTTTTCCACCATCCTTGCCTTCTCCCTTTCAAGCCTCGGGAGCCTGGTTCTCGATCTCTTAAGCACCATCACTGATCCCAAGTGGTAAAAAGGCAGAACTGCAGCACTAGTTCATTAAAAAAATCCCCCCCCATACTGTACTTGTGCGCCTAAACGGGGCTGAAGTACCTTTTCCACCATTGTTAATTCAAACATGTGTAATTATGCTGGAGTAAATAACGCATTATATTTTCAATCCTACTGAATCCTTTAATCTATAATTTTTTTTTTCTGCAGAATGCCTTTGCACAAGTCCAGCTCTGAAGATGGATCTGGAGGTAAACTGAGATGCAAATTGTTTTTGTCTTTAGCATTCTAAATGAATTGAATTCTTGTTGATTGTTTTGCTGTCTAAAATTATACTTAAAAGTGTTGCTGAAAACATGGAGGCTTGATTAAAAAGGAAGGATATTTTGGGGAATTTATAAAAAGGATATCTCTCCTTCCTTAAGGTAAATGGGACAACAAGAAGAAAAACAAATCCTTTTGGCAGAACTTCCGCAAATCTCAGCACAAACCGGTCGCTCGTCAGTCATCTAAAGGTTGGTGTGACTCTTGCTTTACAGACCTTATAGAACTTTATAAAAGCAATTATACACCTTAACCATGAAATATTGATGTATTAAAAAAAGAAACTTTTCAAATGTATACTTTTTATTTTTAAAAATGTAGTTCATATGTATTTGGCTGCTTATACTCTAAACATAAAAATCGAAGTGCAACTAACTCAATTCAAAAGTTACCTAATTTGTAAACAGTCAGTCCGGTTCTAACTTAAAAATGGGATAAAAATGTTATTTGATAACTGGCATATTTAAGCATCTGATTTTTGTAATTAAATCCCTGGTTTGGGCTACAAAAATCTAGTTCTTCTAAGAAATCCCAAGATAATTGTAAAGAGAACATTGGTGATCAAATATCATCATTAAGACCAAGGAACAAACCAGGGAGGTCGGTAGGTGACTCGGGTGCAAACAGGATGGACTAACTACAAACCAACCATGACATCCACCTAACAGACAGGTTGGGAAGAAGAGCTTTATGTAGAGAAGATGCCAAGAGGCCCTGGGTAGCTTGGGAGTTGCTGCAGAGATGCAAAGCTCATGCAAGGGAATCTGTTTACACCAATGGTAGCTCTCCGCACAAATTTGGCTTTTATGGAAGAGTGGCAAGAGAAAAGCTATACAAGTAAACGGAGAGGTCGATGGAGCAACATACAGGGCAATCCTGAAAGAAAACTTGTTAGATGCTTAAAACTGAGACCTGTATTCACTGTTGAACAGGCAGTGCCACAGTGAAATACTTAAAATAAATGCTTAAAACGGCCCAATGACTGTAAATATAATAGCAGGCCTTATATTTCTGTAAAAATGTTAATGCATGTTCCAGTTTGTTCTTATTTAACAATTATGTGCCTTTTATTTTGGTCTATCAAACATCTCAATGAAAGGTATTTGATATTATTAATTGTAGTGCAAAAGAACATGGATAATTAATCTTAAAGGTATAGTGGAAGATGTTCTTTTTCTGGGTCAAACATCACAATAAGTGGTCCTCCTAATTGTGAATCATTCTGGTGATATGTTAATTTAAGGCCATCCTTATTGCAAAAACGACCAAGAGATAAGTAAAAATGTCTTAAATTAAATGTATTAACCCCTAATTTGAGTTGGTAAATACAGTAAGATGAGTATTTTTGCCTTTAAAATCAGATAATCAGATAATATGCACTTGAAATAAGACAATGCAATAGTTTCTTCTTGTTTTAAATGTAAATTAATGTTTAACTTACCTCTTCAATTTAAGAACGAATGTGCATATTTTAAGAACTTATTTGGATTGCGTTATTTTCCAGCGTACGTGCACGTCCCCATTTTTCTTTTTGGAAACAGCAACTTCTAAACAGAGTTTTCACAAACAGAAATGGGCTCGTGCATGCTCACACGCATTTAATAGGTGGTCCCCTTTCTGTAGTGGGTAAAGGGTTATGCATGTGCATTTTTTTTTAAGCGGAGATGGCGGGTTTTTTTCAAAAATTTGCGAAAATCCTCCACAAACTTTTAAATACATTTCCACAGCCTTATTCTCTTGATTGCTATGTTTTCTCTGTGGTCTCTTTAGGAGAAGATATCGGGTATGTTGCCAGTGAGATCACGATGAGCGACGAAGAGCGCATTCAGCTGATGATGATGGTTAAAGAGAAAATGATCACTGTAGAAGAAGCTCTGGCTCGGGTAGGAATCATTTCCCACATTGTTTTTTTCTACTCCTTCTCTCCTCAAAACCTTCCCTACTTCAACAATTAAACCAATCTTTAAACCAGACACAACCTTCACATGTCTTACCTTTGTCCTGGATCCAAATCCCTTTTCCCCTTGTGATCCATAGTCTTCCAATCACTCTGGCTTCCTAAAACTAACTTACTAACCTAAACAAGGCTCCCCATTTGCTATCACTGCATTGTATTTTTTTTTTTTTACACACCCAAACACAACCACACACACACACCCACAAACACCCACTTAACACATAATCAATTTACATATTTGCTGGTGTTTCCTGAGGTTTAGTATTTGGGGGTTTGTGTTCTGGGAGTGTGTGTGGTAGTGTTGTTCAGCTCCTAATTCCAGTGTTGATAGTCATGGTGAATCAGTAGCTTAGTGGCCCAACCTGTTGGGAATGATTATCTGGTGCGTTGTGGGTTTTTTTTTTTCTCCTCTTTGGACATGGTGGATAATTATTTCACACTTTGCTATGATTTTTTTTTTCCTAATGAGTCTCCAATCAGTTCAAGTTTAGTATTTTTTTCTACCCTCCAGCTTCCTTTTCTGTCTCCTTTTTGGCCTTCTCTTTTTTCATGTGTGACAATCTTTATTTCTTTATTGTTTATAACATAGCTGGCCAAAATCAAGAACTGGATTACAGTACACATTTTTATTTATTTTGAATTTCAGCTGCCTTTTTCAGTGTGTTTATCTGATCCTGTGAAGCCATGGTGATGAGGATAACTTTAAAGAATAATCGTTTATATATTAAGTCACATTCTTTAAAAGCTCTTACAACTTTAAATACAACTGGAAATGTCACACAAAAAAAATCAATATAATTTTATATAATTATAATTATTTCAGCTTACTAAGTGAAGAACTCCTTAAAATGGCAGAGGCCCATTTTATGATCTCACCATAAAGACAACATAAAGCAAACTTTTCTATTCCTTAGTTAGGCAGAAGTGTTTACTAAAGATCAATAGATCAAATATTTAGCCAATTTGAATAATAAACCAAATCTGATTTGATTGTCAATATTGAATATGTCTTTATGATTGAATTAAACTGACTTTATAGTTATGTGTTTTAGTTATTGATTTTTATTTTGTAAAGTGCCTTGAGATTACATTCGCTGTGAATTGTTTCTATATAACGTGAACATATTATGTTTTTTTTAATTTCTTTTTTAAATGATAAACATTCATCATTCATATCATTATTTAGGGCGCGACAATAATTAATTGCCAATATTTGTGGTATAATTTTATTCAATAAGGGTGATATGACTATTGAATACATTTCTAGTATTTTGAAATCCATTACAGCCTATGATTACAGCGTTTTCCCTGACATTCAGAGCACAGGTGGTTCACCTTGACTCCGTGATTAATGACATACACCATAAACACGGAGTCTGTAGCGGCAGCAGGCAAAGCTGAGTGTAAAATACAAAAATAAAAAATACAGATACAGTAAAGAGCAGAGCTCTTGTCACCACTGAGAGGAAGCTGTACGGAAGAGGATTAGGGCCACTAAAAAAAGTAAAAAAAAACAAAAAGGAAACAGAATTTTTCATTTTATTTCACGCTATCATGGGAAAAAGTCAGAATTCTGACTTTAATCTCAAAATTCTGACTTAAAAGTAAAAAAACAGTCAAATTTCTGACTTTTAAGTCAGAATTGCTTTTTTCCCATATTAAACTGAAATTCAAAAATCAGTTAACTTTTTTTTTTCTTTTAAGTGCCCCTAATTCTCTTCCATAGTCCTGCGATATTATAGGGTGTGTAAAATGATTAATTTAGTTTTGACTGACCTGATGTGATGGATGCTTTAGAATAGACTAAATTAGACTTAATTTATCATTCTAATTTGTTAACATGGTGTTTTTAGGGTTAGGTTTGTTTGTCTTTTGAATATATGAAAGTATCACGAAAAAATAAAGGAGACAAAAACAGAGAAACTGTCAAATATGTAAGAACCAACAGACTGACAAATATGAAGAGGGAAAAATAAAAACCTGGTTAAATGCATTTAAAGAACATTTCTATAGCTAGCCAATATTAGCTTGTTAATTAGCCTGCTTTAGTCTTTTATTTCTGTTCCACGGTTGTCCCACTTTTTAATGAACCTGACATCTGCTGTTTTCTTGTAACGTTGGAAAAATGTTGTTTTCTGACATGTCTACTTCTTTTGGTATAATTAAAATTTTGAGTATGGAATGTTCTGAAGAGAAATATTGTTAAAAACATGCATCTTTAATAAATCACATTATCTTAAAGTAACAGCCATTCAATTTTTTTTTACTCTGACTCCACCTTTTCACTGAATTAGAGGGTCTGACCAGGAGATGAAGCTTCTCTTTAGATCTTAAGGTCCACAAATCATGACAGAAAGAATATTTTAGTACAAAGATTGATGTTTAAAAAGGAATAATAGGGGACCAGCCAAGTAACCACCATGGGTCCATCAAGGAAATCGGGGAAATTTTGAATGGCTGCTACTGTAGTGATTTCGATAAAAATATACCCAAAAAAGAAAGAAAAGACATTCAATTGAAACTTTTTGGGCCATCCATAACAGCCTGCTATGTTTTCTTAGCAGTGGTACAATAGGTGGGAGAGGGTTAGCGCTGTGTTAATATATCTCTGGCATTTCATTATGGTGATTTTGATCCACATGTATTTTATGGTAGAAAAAATTATTTGAAAAAAGTTTAAAATAATAAAAAATATATATAACCAACATCTTTTTTTTTTTTGGAATAGAGCTGTTTAATCCAACTACTCCACTCTAATTGGCCCCTACTGTAGCTCAGCTTACTGGTCCTATCTTAATTTAAGTTTTCCTCTAAATTGATTAGACTCTAGGCACCATCTACCAATGTAGGTGAGAGCAGAAGTCCAAAAGAAAGACAAAAGTTAAAGAAAACAGCAGCCAAAGCGCTAATCCTCAGACAATCCGTTGTGTTTAGACATGTTATCGGATGTGAGGGTTTATATAACATTAAAAAAAGCATATGATCCTATTTACAACACGTAAAGGTTTTCTAGCTCCAGGCTGTAGCTTTCAGAAGACACTGAATCGCTGTGATTGAACTCCACTGAATGTATGTTTCTCTGTGGTCCATTAAATTATAGCCAGACCTAGTGTTGCTGGGTGAGAGTGGGTGGTCCGCCCTGTCCCTCTGCCTCTCTAAACTTCTCTTCTCCATGTAGCTTAAGGAGTATGAGCGCAGCAAACAGTCCAGCAGTAGTGACACTGCAGAGTGGACTGAAGGATCTGCAGGCAATCTAAACCAGTCCTCAAATTGCAATGTAAGTATACCCCTTCCCACTCCCTTCCCTGCCTCTATTCTCCCTCTTTTAACACTCTCACCTTTATTTATTTATTTATTTATTTTTTAGCAAAAGTTGTCCTAAAAGTCAGATTCTTTACATTTTACTTGTGTAAACTAACTGATCTCAACTTCTTCTTTTTGTATTAATCTCTCTATATATATATTTTTTGAAAGACTAAATGCAGTTTATTTATCTATCTTTTTTTATTTAACAAAACAACCCTCCACCATCACATGTGGCTTGTGATTTTTTTTAATTGCCTCAGAACATTTAAATCTCATTGTTTGTCTTGTATTTATTTATTTTTTATGTTTTTTTATATTACTTCCATGGTCTTGCAGTTCAGCCAGCATAAGAAACATCCAGTTTGGTTCAAATGTTCACCTACATTTTATTTATTATTTTTCCTTTCATTTCCATCTCATTTGAGATGCTCATTTGTCCCTGTGGATTTGAAGTTGCTCTCATAAACAGACCCTTTGCCTCATGGAAGCTAAATGTTTAAAGCGACTATGATAAGTGGAAAGCTGGGTTGAGGGGTAGACTTAATCTTAGGAGCCTGTTTGTGATTTTTGTAAGCTGCTATCTTTGGAGAAATCAATATAGAACCTCTCTGTGTTATCTTGCAAGAACTTTAAAACCCTTGAAGGAGCCTAATGTTGTGAAGCAGGTTCCATAATAGGTGCTGTGAGTTCTAGATTTCAAGCTGTCAGCTGCTGTTTATTTTCCTGCAAACTTGTTTTCATTTGTTACCTTAAAAACCTCAAATGTCATTTTTATTTAAGTTTTGTTTTTAGACAAAATCTTGCATCATTGTGAAGGGTAAAATACTAATAAAATTCTTAAAAGTGTGGCATGCATCTTTAGCTAGTCCAAATTATTCTTCCTCTCAAAATTATAAAGACATGTTTAAACTATCAATACACTGGGGAGGAAAATGCGTGCACAAGTTGTAGTTTTTTTATTTAGTAAAATTATTTTACCTTCCTTTCATAAGTAATTTAATGATAATACATTTATTTCAAAGGCACCTTTTTGGACACTCAAGGTCACCGTACAAAAAATAAAAACACAATGGCAGAAACAAAGTCTAAACACAAAATAAAACAATTTAAAAATACAAAGGCTGGGACAGAAAAATTAATATTAAAGATAATAGGCAATTTTAAACAGATGAGTTTTTAGTTGTGATTTGAAATGGAGAAATGAGTCTATGTTTCTATGTAAGGCTGGCAGAGAGTTCAAAAGTTATGTTGGCCTGCTAAGATATTTGTGATTAAATTATATCAAAATGTAAAGAATTTTGAGGGAGGCTGAGTACTTGAGTGTGAATGTTATTTGATGTAATGTTTCTCATGGGGCTGTTTTTCACCCAGACAATCTCATAAAATGACCCATTTTCTATTTTAGGGAGCCAGTCTTATCACAACATCAAACATTCCCAAGTTTGCTAAAAATATCTGCCTGCTGTATTGTGTTGCAATATTCCTGTGCAGAATTTTAATTAAACAGTCCCTACTTCCAGACACAGTCTCCACAGTTAAAAAATGTTTCCTGATAATTAATATGAAGTAAAACATGACCTCAAAGCTATTAGATGGATAAAATTTCCACTCAAAGAGGAACTTAATTTCTTTCTTTCTCAATCTAGGTGACCTATTTGCTTGACTTCTTTAACTTTAAATTCCTTCTAAGACCCTTATTCATAATTATCTGATGCATATAAAACTGATTATTTAGCTACATTCATGCAAAACAGCTCTTTTTAATGTTCTTTAAAGATTCAAATATTCTTCTGGGTCATGATTGATGATTTCCTTCCACTTTAAAAAGTAGGTCAGTTATTGCATTCATAAACTAAGCCCAGGTCCTATGTGCTCTCTGGCTCTTTGATGTGACTGCTTGAATTGTGTATGAGTGTTCTGATCGCATTAATTAGTCAGCTGAACCTCGCCACTGACTTCCTGTTGGAGGAAGATAGATCGATTTGGGATTTTATAGACTTGTGTGGGGGGTTGGAGAGTTATACTGAAGGCGTATTGTGTAGGAACACACACTTTGACTCCAAAGGCAAGTGCTGGAGGCAGGGAGGAAGCTAGGGTGTTTTGGTAGGAGAGGATAAACACTTTATACTTGTCCCAGAGGCCTGAAAAATTGGGGAACTCTGCTAAATTTCATATAGCCTTAAGTTCTAAAATTGTCCGCTTCAGGAAATATTTCCTCTCGGATGTGGCTTCTGTTCATGCCCATTCTTCTTTCCAGATACAGATTTAGGTCAATCCCAAATCCATACAGTCAACAGCCCTACTCATCTTCTAAAGGCCTGCAGTCTTTTTCCAGAAACTCACGTTTGAAGTTGACATGTTTGCAGTTTTCTGCTCTTTTGTCTGATTTCACCACTCGCTGGGCAATCTGAGCCCAACATTCCAGGGCTGGCCATTAGCGATTTTGGGGCCAAGGCAGGGTCAGAGGGGCTCAAACGCTGGGATTGTTCTCCATGCACAACACGCCTTTTCTCTGCTAGCTGTGCAGCACAGTGCTTTAGAACAGTCCCTCATTCCTCTCTTGTGAACTCACTGAAAAGGCTCCATCTGCTAGCATGCAAACAGGCGTGCAGATATGATTATAGATGCATGATGGTGTGGTCAGTTTGGATGGATTTACTTGTTCTGCTCTTGTTAAACTGAGGGATTTGATCAAAGAAAGCAGAACCCTGCCTTCATTGGTGAGGTGGTAAGTTTTTATGCATATAGTGTATATTATTGCAATTAAAGTTGTTGTACAAAACAAAGTTTTGGAAATTACTTACAAAGTTTGTGAGCAAACCGTACTGGAGTTAGTGAAGCAAGCCTGAAGTGGTGGATAAGGAATTCCTACTTGGACTTTGTTTACAATAGCCTTTTAGCACTGCTTGATTCATGGCCCCATATAATTTACTGACTTTTTGTGGGATTCTCTCTCCACCTGATTATCTAGTCATTTGCATGGATGACTTGCTTAAATCTGAGCTGAGAGGTTCATTGTGACCCATTTTACAGTCCTCATCCAATGAAAACTTGGGTTTACCTTAAATCTTTTTGCTCTGCAAAACTGAAAGCCTTTTTGGACTTTTTCAATTTCTCTATGTGATATTTGGTGAAATTTGAGGAGTCAGCAGAGTGGTCAGAATTGTTCCGATGGAGGAGTGTCTGGTTTGAATGCTCAGTGGAGTTATGGATTTCTGCAGGTCTGACAGAAGCCTGAATGAATTACTGGAGTATTTTTGTTCTTGTCTGCTGGCCATTTTCAGCCTCAACTTAACATCTGTTTATACAAAATCTAATGAGTGAATTTCCAGGGAAAATTATGTTGTTGTTTTTTAAGTACAGACTTTATAAACTGACTTTTTTCAGATTTGTAAAATGTAGTTTTCACAACTACAGGCAACCAAATGTCATGTTGTTAGAATGATTAACTGTTTTGGCAGTATTAATTAGAATGTTATTGATTCAAAGCATATAGGTTTGTTACCAGGGATTGGCTGGTAAGAAATGTTCACATAACCTAGGTAAATATTCAGCACACCTTTAGTATTAAAAAGCTAAATAAAAATAGGAAAGGAGAACAAATGAGAAAACAAATCAGTTATACTAACTTAGCAAAAGGCAACATCTCTGAACTTGAGTTGTAGAAAGACTAAGTGCCTCTGACAATTTTACTAGATTTTTCTTTTATTTAGAGATCCAGGGAGATATAAGATATGACTTCAATAACTTTTTAGTCATATAACTTATTATTAGAATCTTCTGCTCTGCAGAGTGTTGGTGTTGGTGCACTAGCGCATCATTGTATGGTGCATTTATGCAGTAAAAAAAGAAAAAAATGATTATTGACTTTCTGATGAATATAAGATTCCTCAGTGTACCTTTAGACAAATAATGTAAAGTGTTTCAAAAACTATTTAATTAATATAGCTTATTTAAGTCAGAATAATGCTATCTTTATTACCGGTAGTATTTATATATATTTTGTTTAATCTATTAAATAGGTGCTGATATAAAACCATCCACTGCAAACCTTTGCGGTTTTTTAGTCTCTTTTTGACAATATTTTATAATGTTTGACATCAAGTAACACAGGTGCATTTTGGAGTTTGATAGAAGCTTGTGAATTAGTAAAGCTGTTGGCTCCAACACACAGCCTGCAATCAGCTGCCTATTAGCATTTTGACAGAATTAGATTTTTTTCTAACTGAAATTTTAAGACAACCTTTACCTTAATAAAGGCTTTGAGTATTTCTCTCTTAGTAATCACACTATCAAGGCCCATATTTTACAGAAAGTTGAATGAGTCTTTACACAGTAAGCTGATTTATAGTGTGTGGCAACAGGTGAGAGAGGGGCCACTGTGGGTTTACTAAACTCTATACGATGAAATTATCTTTAGCTTCTAAAAATTGTAAGAACATCATAGAAAAAGACACAGCACTGACTTGACCACCGTTTTGCCCTTATATTGACAGAGAAACGTGATTTTCTTTGTAGATAGCATCCTCTAAACTTTTTAAATTTAATGACCGTGAAATGATTTAAGGTTTTACATTCCTGCAAGTTCGATCATGCAAAATTCACTGAAGAGCTGGATGTGTGTGTGGGATCGGTGTGGAGATGTTACTTTGGAAACCAGCAAGCAACAAACACAAAATAAATTTACATCCAAATGTCTCACTTATCCCCAAACAACGAGAGTGGAAGAATAAAATGCAGCTCTGGGAGAAGCTGTGCTTGTGTGTGTGTGTCTGTGTTTTTACGACAGCTGCTTGTGAAGAAGTTTCTTTTAGAGATCAAAATCTTAATTGTTTAAATGTTTAAGAAATTCCCATGAAACTCATTCTGGGTTTCTTAGGAACTAGAAATTTGCACAATGCAGTGGGCTCACATCCATCTCTTTCAATCTTTCGCCTCACTAACTTTGTTGCCATCCTAAACAGAACTTCCATCCTTGTTGCATAATAACCTCATCCTCAAAACGCTAATGTGTTTCAATGTGTTGATTTCCTTTTTTTTATATATATAGTTTAATAAATACAAAACGATTTTAAGTTAGTTATTATTATTTGATCATAATCTTATTATTTTTTCCACCAGTCTCGTGAACAGTCGGATGATGAGCAATCCGAGGACTCGGTGAAGTTCAAAAGGCTTCACAAATTGGTCAACTCAACACGGCGAGTCAGGAAGAAGCTCATCAAAGTAGAAGAGGGCAAGAAACATTCCCCTGAAGGTCTGTGACTCCCGTTTTTAAAGAAAAGCTTTTATTTTCCTACGTTCAGCTCATCCTTTGTTCTCTTTTGCCTTTTAATTTGTTAAGTTGCATTAATCTTTTGTTCCGTTTAGATTTTCTGAATCTGGAAACTCCCTGCTGTGAGGACAACGCAGCTCTGTATACAGGGGTTCTAAAAAGACCCCCTTTGCCCCAGGAGGCCTCCCTTCCCTCTCTTATCCATGACCAACTCTCCTTGGATGGAGATACAGACAGTTTGACTACTTCCCCTTCATCCAGCAGTCTTGACACCTGGTCTGGACACAAACTAGTGAAAACCTTTAGTAAGTCTTCCAGCAACCACGGCCTCATCAGACCCCCGAGGAGAACTGCAGCCGGCTCGATCTCTGGTGTTGCAGGCAGTGGCTCTTCCTTCTCAGAGCTTGATGGATGTGGTCTTGACGATGAGGGAAAGCTCTCACGCTCCACGACAGAAAGCGAGATGAGGAAGGCACTAAGCTCCATATCCCACGGGGTAAGTAACAACGAAGCCCTTTACGCCTTTTACGGCCTCACCAAACCTCGCCCCAAACCCAATTCCCAGTCCCGCCTTCTGATTTCCCTGGAGGACGGCCAGCAAGGCAGTCCCAGACATCAACCATCTAACCGCCATCTTGGTAGCTGGACCCACCGGAAACCCGACCCCAACTACGCTTACTCCACCAAACACCTTTTGTACCAGCGCTCACGCAGTGCCAAGTCCCCCATCTCCCCCTTGTCTGTCACCCCCTCCTCACCCATCCGTTGTGACCTAACAAAGTCAAAGGGTTTCGGAAGCGGAGGCGGGGGCTGGGCGTTCCCTCCCCGGCGACTGCGAGGCCGAACTGCGGTCAGCGAGTTGAACATCACCTACGTTGTAGAGCGAAGCCTGTACGGTCACCTGAACTGGGCCCAGCTGGTGCGTCCAGTCACCCTCAGCCGCGCTGAGCGCCGCTGTCTGCTTGAGGAGGACCGCGAGGTGGACAGGAAATGGGCGGCCAGTGTGGACCGCTGCACCAAGCGTGTGCTGTTGCGAATCCAGCAGAAGTCTGTGAGTGTGGACCATGAGGTTTCAGTCGGCCGCCGCGTGTGAGCAGGACCTGGTACTTCAAAGTTGCAGAATAGCTCAGAGGGCTGGGATTATATTTAACACAAGAACATTTTCCGGCTGTGAAAAAAATAGGCAACTAAACTTCTTAAGAACTTGAAGCATCAATGTCTTTCACTGCCTTCAAGCATCTATCAGCTTAAACTTTTTCCCATTTTTATGTTTTTATCCTAAACTTCTATTTTATTCCGTAAGACTTTATTTAATTTAACAAAAGAGAGTGGAATATAATTTTGAAGGGGAAAGAAAATTATGCAAATTTATCAAAACAACACACAAATAAGTACCTAAAAAATTACTGTGCATCCGTTTCACACCCAGCTATATACTTACTTTGCTAAATAATAGCAAATATGGAAAAATGTTAGAGTTTATGCCATCGCAAGCAGGGGCAACAGCAAACAAGAACGTACAAGAATGTCACATAACATAATAAAATAAAATGTATGACTTATACAAAACACTGTCTGAATATAACATCCTCAAGGTGAAACTCTGCATCGTGTATTGCAATTGCAGCAATTTACCTTTTGACTCAGCTAGACTAAATATATGCCACATTTTTTATTTAGAATTGTATTTGGAACAATAAATCTAATTGTTTTGGTGATCATTTTCGTTTTACTCCTCAGTTATCCACTATCACTTCATCCGAATCGTAAAAATTTGGATTTAACAAGATTTTGGTGGTAATGACCACAAGAGTAGGGTGATGAAATTGCAGGGTGAATTCCTTCACAGCCCCCTGTATCCTTTGGGGAAATGGCTTATCCTTTGACCTTTAAGTGAAGAGCTTAAGCTTCCATCCTTTATATTTCAGATGAATATAAAATGACTCCTTAATGTGTCGTGTCCCATTTTGGGGGTAAAATTTCATATGTGCCTTTTATAAATGTCAGCTCCCTGAAGAATCGTACCCTCTCACTGATCCCTGTGGGTGTATGAGATGTACATGCTCCATGCTGCTCATCCTAAAATGCTGTGTGGCTCAAAACCTCACACTCAAAGACTGATCCACTGAAGGACCTTCATTCAGATTCAGCAACCGAACAGCCTTTTATGCCCATTAGTTTTTAAAGCCAAATATAGCATCAAAAGACAGATAAGAAGGAACATTTTATCCTGCAGGGGTTGCAAATGGGAGTAATAAGGTTTTGGATGAAAATAGTCTCATCCATAGCCTCAGCACTCCAACAGAAGAAGAGGCAGAAAGAGGAGGAGTGGGTGGTTGTACAGAGCTATCCTGCAGCTTTGAGAGTACCTGAAGCCTGTCATGTTCTAGTGAAGTCACTGGAGATCGCTCTCATCCAGATACTCTCTGAATCCACTTTTTTTTGTCGTGGCTTTTAATCTTTTTTTTTTTTTGTGGCTCGTGCCTCAACTGCAGATGTTGCTTTTTTTGTTTTTTTTGTTCCTTATATATATATTTTTCTTGTTTTTTTCTGGAAGACATTTTTATCTGGGTGCATGTCCATTCCATCAAACGTTACCATCACCTTTTTTTTTTTTACACATTTTTGTTCTCCAAACTGCTTTTGCTCCCTAGCGGTGATGTAGGCTGCAGCTGTGGACATCTGATGCAACAACAGCTTGTCGATGTGCAGGGCTGTCTCAGTTGGGGATTGTTTGTTTTTTCGAGGATTGTCTAAACTCTCAGTGAAGTTATTTTACAAAGGAAAGTAAAAGAATAAATACCATCATCGCAACCCCTTGCTCAAATCCTTTATAACTGTTTTTTTGATATTTTTGTGTGTAACATCATAAAGTCAAATCCGGTTTTCCTTCATACCATTACCCACTCCCCTTGTGTTTACTCCTATTTCGCTTATGGTGTCTTATTCGGAGAAAAACGATGAGATGCACATAATAAAATTAATTTTGGGCCAGTTTTAATTGCCATTACTGATTATGAAATATCTCGATTTCTCTTGAAAAACTCTTACTTTTGATAAATAAAAACTATGGAAATCAAACAAGCTGAAGTCCGCCAAACCAGCACCAATTTACAGCACTTTCTGCCAATGCATCATAAAAAAAATCTGCAAAAGCATGAAAATTATTTTATGAAAGAATACATTAATCAACTAATAATGAAAATAATTATAAATGCACAATGCAATGAGATATTCAATTATTTTCTTTAAGAAAACATATATATATTTTTTAACAAGGCTCATATTTGCAGAAATGTTTGCAAGATTCTGCTTTAATGTATTTAACTACAACGGAGCCAATAGTTCTTTCTTTTTTAATGTATAAACTATTTCTATTAGAAGCAGCCTTGTGTTAGATAGAGTAGTCAACTTTACAAAAGTAACTTTATCATTACTCAGTGCAAATCCTGATAAAATTGTATTGCGGTCTCTCATCAGCAGAATTCTTTGTGCGTCTTTAGACACCTCAGATAGTTTTATTATAAAACAGTCATTATGCTGTCACCTACTTCGAATCTGCTCAACTAATATGCAGATTAGCAAATTGAAAAAAACATTTGTTAGTTCAATAGTTTAATCGTTTATTTTATTTTTTTACCACATAGAAAAACTTCCACCTGGCACCTTCCTTGAAGTTTTAAAGCCTTGAAGGAGCAAACTTCTAAATGCATCTTTGCACCCCATCGTGCTTGTTACCCATACTTTTAAATAGGAGTTTATACATTACTCTGTTACATCATGTCTGTTGCCTGTCTTTAGTCTCGTATGACATCATGCCACTTACATACAAGCCATACAGCCACGTTCATTATCCCAACTACTGCCTGTGTTCAAGCAAGGCATGAGTCATTGTGTGCAGTTTGGTTGGGTGTGCCTTCTATAACGTGACCTTCTTGAGCATGACTCATTTGATTGTGCTTTGGCTCCCCCCACACAGAGAACATGCAGCTTCGGGGGCTTCGACCTGTCCAACCGTTCTCTCCATGTGGTCAACGCAGCCTCCGAAGCCAATGTAAGAGCTGGAGCACAAGCTGAATTCCCCTGTCGCAATAAATTATCCCCGGTTTTGACCCATCCTGCCCTTGATTAGCCCCCACCCAACCCCCATGTAATTTCCATCTTTTTTCCACTCCATGTTCATCATCTTACTTTTTTTTTTTTTTCTCCCTAACATGGCAGAATAAGGAACAGGAGGCATTATACAGAGAAGTGGTGAAATCTCCCAACACCACTCGGATCTCCCTGGGCAAGAAAGTAAAGTCGGTGAAGGAGACCATGAGGAAACGCATGTCGAAAAAGTACAGCAACTCGCTGTCTGAGCAGGTTAGAAAGACCGACCCAGACACAAATATTCATGTTCAAACATTATTATTATAGCTGCTTTTTGTTTTGAGTGAAACTAAATCACATTTAAACCCTTAAAAGAACTGGAACAAAGATTTATTTGACATGAAGCAGGTGAAAAAAGCGTGGTTTATGTTGTATCCATCCAAGTTCAGCAAACGTGGATCATGTTTGTAGTGAAAGCCACATGTTCTGTCTACAGGCAGTGAGTGGGTGGAAATATTTGCACTAGACACCAAACAAAAAGGAAGAGATTTTGATTTCTCTTCCTGCTCTGCTGTTCTTGGACCATGTCTGTTGGGTGGAGAGTGTTTATCCATGTTGAGCTGACATAGTACTGTAACTGCCCCATGGGCTCTCTCTCTTCCTTGGAACTCATAAGTATATAGAGGCCATCTCTTGCTCTGGACCAATTTTTAGGGGGAAATTTGCGGCTTTTAGGCTCATAAGCTGTGCAAACTTCTGACATCTGTGCATTGTAACTAGGGCTGCAACGAACCATTATTTTGCCTATCAATTAATCTGTCTATTATTTTTTCGATTAATCGATTAATAATCGGATAGCAAAAGCTTCCTTAAAGAAGACTTTTTACAAAATTAAACAAGGTGAAACTAAAACTTTTCCATTTGAGGGGTTCTGGATAGAGCATAATGACAGCTAAAAAAAGTTTTTAATCTTAAATACAACATTTTTATATCTTTTTTTTTACAACTTAAAATATAATTAGTGCTATAAATGGGCTAGAAGCATAATTGACAGTCTTTATACTTCATCTAACATTTAATCGAATGCTGAATTAGTTGTTGAATATTTCAATAATTGATTATCCACGAATAATCCGATTTCAGCGCTAGTTGTAACACATTTAGCAAGGTAAAAATCAAGGAAATTAAGTTGTCACTGTATTCTAACTAATGTTGGTTAAATAACAGCAAAATAACCTTTCTGTGCCTATTTATTGTGGATATATTTATTACCAAGTAAGAAAAATTTTAATTTCACTGGTAACCTATGTATCGAATGAATAAGGAAATAAATCTGATTAAAAAGTACTTTTATGTATTCTCATTTAACAGGTAGAACATCTATTATAATGCAAAAAGCTCCTTTTCTGTATGAAGAACGATGTCATACATTTATCACCTTGGCAAAATACATTACAATATGCCAAGCAGTCGATCTTTAAGACATTATAATGCACTTAGGAATTTATCCTTGTCGTATTTTCATTACCACTAAGACAAATGATACACAGTTTGGCTTCCCTGGAAGGCCTGAAATGTAAATTTTCACTGCTTTTTGTCAATGTGTTGCAGCCATTTAGTAGAACACAGTGCCATCTATTGGATTACCTAAACATGTGCAACATATTCCAGTATCTTGGGGCTCAGTTTAATGTTAATAAACATCCAATTACGAACCCTATCTAAGTTATTTAGAATGTTTTATTGTCAAATTCCTATAAAAGCAGTTTGGGAAGACTTTTCCCTAATGTTTTTAACCTCTCAGTCACTCAGCTCTCTCTCTTTTTTTCCCTTTTCTCTTGTGTTTTCTACTATTCCCGAATCTTCATTCCCCTTCCTTCATTTCCATCTTATAGTCCAGTCCTGACGGAGCCCCTGGTTCGCCACAGTCTCCTCTTCCAGACACCGACTCCTTGGAGAAACCAAAACTAAAGGCCGGAGGCTCGGTGGAAAGCCTGCGCAGTTCACTCAGCGGCCAGAGTTCAATGAGTGAGAAATATCTTCTTTTTTTTTTTTTTTATCCATTACCTTAAATGATAGTTCCAGGGTTAGATTAAAAGAAATTAGTTTCATTAACCCACTCTATAGGATGGGTGATATATTACAATATGGAAATATATATGACTTAGAATTCAAACTTTATCATAGTCACTATATAAAGCCCTCCATCTTTTTTTTTTTTTTCTGTGCAGACTGTCAACACGTTGTGCTTACAGCTGTTATTTTGATAGGAACTTTTCTTTCTGGTTTCCCCACCACAGACAGAAATGGAGTAAAAAATAGGAGCTGTTTGAAATAATGATAACTTCCACCCTGTCTTTTTGAAGCTTCTTGACACATGCATTTTATGACACAAGATAATGTTTGGAAGAGGGTTTTAGTCAAAGTTCACAATGTTTATGTATGAACACGATTCTACAGTTAATTGTTTTTAGAAGAATTTTTTTTTTTTTTTTTGGATAAAAAGGAGCAGGTTTATCATAGCTTAAATGTTTATACAGTACTTGTGCATGCTTGTCTCCAGGTGGTCAGACAGTGAGCACCACCGACTCGTCGGCCAGCAACAGAGAGAGTGTGAAGTCAGAGGACGGAGACGACGAAGAGCCGCCTTACAGGGGGCCGTTCTGCGGCCGCGCTCGAGTTCACACAGACTTCACTCCCAGCCCCTATGACACCGACTCCCTTAAACTGAAGGTAGAGATACTTTCTCTTCCTTTAGGATGTATCCATATCATCTTGTCAAATTACTCTTTCTCAACTTTAACTCTGTTTTAACCCTCATATCTCCAGGGATAGAAAATATTGCCAACAGCAACAAATATACGTATATCTTCTTTTTCAAAAAGCTTCATATCCACAGTTTCAGACAATTCCACAGTGATATTATACAGTTGTAGCTTATATTGGTATATCTATTGTTAGGGGCTTATTTAGTTTTTGTACCCCTTACAGCTTGTTTACCTGCATTTCATGTCAAGCATCTTATAATGCATGAGGGTGAATTTACTATTTTTGTATATTCTTTCTTATTCTGGGGATATTCATCATTGTTTTTTGTAATTTATTCGTAATACCTAAAGAAATTGTGACATCAAAACATTTGGATGCTTTTTAACTAAAAGGGTATTTTTATCTTGCAAAGATCAAGAACAGAAAATCTCTTTCAGAAATTCATTCATTGTCTTTTTTTATTCACTTCCTGATTCCATTTGAGGGGAGACGCACCACCTACATAATGAGTATCTACCTAAATTTTAGGCTTAAGACTTAAACTTTTTTTGCATTATTAAGTTATTAAGTGTTTTCCTAATATTTATGTATATATTTATCAAAAGTATTGAATCTAAAATATAATTTTGTTTAAGTGTATACATTTTTTAAGCCTTTTTATGATCTCCTGTTTCAATTTATTTATAATGGGTCCAAAGTCCCATTTTGAACTGATCAAAGCAATATGTGGGAGTCCTCCTGTTGTTATTTTATAAGAGTCAAATATCCACATATGCTTTTAGTTAACCTAGCTGATGCTTAAAGGTTAAGTAATTGGTTGTTAAAGCACCAAGGAGTGTAGTTTATTCAAAACATCCCATGGCAGACATAAAACAACTAAAAGGCTAAAATCACCACCACCTGAATAGAACCCAACTTTCATTGAGTGTTTTTTTTGTTGTGTGTTTGTTTTTCTTAAATATAAATGTGTTGCTCTTCAATTTACTACAAAAAACTTAAATCAAAGTACTATTTTCAAGAAACTGTTTTCTTCTCTGTTCCATGTATTCAGAGAGGGGATGTGATCGATATCATCAGTAAGCCGCCGATGGGAACATGGATGGGACTCCTCAACAACAAAGTGGGCACCTTCAAGTTCATCTATGTGGACGTGCTGAATGAGGAAGAGGAGAAGCCTAAAAGGCCTGTCAGGAGGAGGAGGAAGGGCCGACCCCCCAAACCCACATCAGTGGAGGAGCTGCTGGAGCGGATAAACCTCAAGGTGGGGTTCCACAAATGGAAGAAAATTATTTAATTAGACATATTTAGGCTATTCTATACTTAATGCATATTTTTTTTTGTTAAAAGCTATTTTTACTGACAAAATTGCCTGTGAGGCAAATATAGTTTACCCAATTACAGGCCACACTGTTCAGAAGGTTTGCTTTGACACTGATTCACAAACATTAACACCCACATTGGCACAACCGCACTCCTGTAAAGCGGTTGGTGTCTTCTTTAGCCAAACCTACATATTGCTCCGTGCTCACTATCATCTCCTCCCACCCAGGCAGCCTGCGGGCCTCCGGTTCCCCAAATAGAAACAGAGACTTCCTGTGGCTTTGTCTGGTTTCATCTACAGCAAACTCAATTGCCAAGCCGCAGATTAAAGCTTGCTGAGGCTAAGCTGCGAATCTACTGCTTAGAAATTCATAACAGCATCATATTGAAATCAGTCAGAACCAGATGCTTGAAGTTCATAGGTTCAATTTTCAATTCAAACAACAGTTTACAGCAACACATTCCTAGCATGTATGCATTTTATTAGTTAGCAGTTCCAGTTTATTTTTTTGTGTGTTTATTTAAATGATTCTATGGGTTGAAGTTTCCTAAGAAATGATTAGTGCTGGATACAGTAGGATTTCGTTTAACTCCTTTACATTAACAACTAAGTTCTTAAACTCAGTATGGTAAATGTTTTTTTTCTGACCATAAAGTCTAATCTCTTCTCTGGTAAGATCTCATTTCCTTTCTTCCTGAAACTTAGTTTGAGATATGCAATCTTTGTAGTGACTCCTGATAATGTGCGGTTTTGCACTATAGAACAAAAGCGGATGTGGTTTGATTTGATGCCTGATGACTCTGCACACGTGGTGAACCATGTTGACAATGCTGTGTCAAATAAAACAGTGCCTAAGGGCTACTTTGAATCGATTATCAAGTTAAATGCAATGGTATTCTTTTTTTTAATTTTACCTCATTTTCTTCTTAGATTCAAATTGTATTTTTCGCATATTTCCTTCCCTTTCACACCCTGACCCTGACTTCTTATATTTATCCCTTTTACTTCATATATATATATATTCCACAGGAGCACATGCCTACTTTTCTGTTCAATGGGTATGAAGATTTGGACACATTTAAGCTGCTGGAAGAAGAAGACTTGGATGAGTTGAATATCAAAGATCCTCAGCACAGAGCGGTGCTGCTTACGGCTGTGGAGCTGCTACAGGAGTATGACAGTGAGTAGAATAATGAACCCAGGTGATTCTTCAGTTTTAGAAAGTTGTCAACCTTCTGCTTTGCCCGTCTTGATGTTTGCTAGTTTGATTGGATATGTTTATATTTACTATGAATAATACTTTATTACAAGCACATAATTTAAAGCTTATCACCCTAGTATTATAAATGTTACTCTTGCGGTTGGAACCATAAAACAAAAACGAAATCAAAGATTTTTGTGAAATAAACTGCCGTCAACAATGAGATACATGTTTTAGCTCTTCAATAAATGGATAAATGAATATAAAAACATTGTTGTGTATATTGCATGTTCTCCCTGAGCATGCGTGGGTTCTCTCCGGGTACTCCGGCTTCCTCCCACAGTCCAAAAACATGACTGTTAGGTTAATTGGCTTCTCTAAAATTCTCCTTAGGTGCGAGTGTGTGCATGAATGGTTGTTTGTCTCTGTGTTGCCCTGCGATGGACTGGCGACCTGTCCAGGGTGTGCCCCGCCTCTCACCCACTGACAGCTAGAGATAGGCACCAGCACCCCTCGCGACCCCACTTGGGATTAAGCATGTTTGAAAATGGATAGATGCATGGATGTTGTGTATATTTTTTTTCAGTATTGCTTTACTCTGCTACCGTATAATTAAATCCATTCTAACCATAATTTAGTTGAAAAGTCACTTTATTGATAATTCACCTTTGAAATTTAATCTCTGTGTGGAAAAAAAAGCTGTTCTGTGAAGGCATCAGAGGTTAAAAAAAAAACATTAATAAACCAATGGCATTGAGAAAAACAAGGAAAAAACAGCAGGTCATGTTGTAAAGAAAACAATAGTATGGTTAGAATTTAAAACAATATCTCAAATAATTATCTCAAACTGAACACATGTATTCCATCATAAAATAAGGAAAGTTAAAGGGAATTCTGCAAACCTACGAAGACATAGATGTCAGATTGAGGACAGCATTAATTAACAGTGGAATCATGCTATGGGGATGATGTTCTTCATCAAGGACAGGACAGTGATGTTCAAAATGCAGAGTGATATATGAAAAATCAGACCAGCACCTTATCTTATTCGTAACATCTCACTCTTAATTGAGGCTGGCAGAGCTTTAATCTATTAAATGGTGAAATGGACAAAAAATGTCAGATGTCCTTGAAAGGCAAAGATAATGGAGAAGCCCTTCAAAAAAAATGTGAACCTCTAATTGTACTAACCGATGGCTCTATGAATTATTGATCCATGGGGGGGATATTTAAAATAAAAAAAAGAAAAAGTAAAAACTCAATGAATGTTCCATTGCTGTTCTGTATTTCTTTGCTTTTTATCTCACTTAATTCAAATAAGATGCCAAATAAAGGGGCTTGTATTTTGCCATAAGCTGAAAAAGTTTAAATATTATACAGGCTTGGTTGTGTTGCAGAGAATTTTGATGAATTTTCCTATCTTTTCAGGCAGCAGTGATCCAGAGCGCAGTGGGTTGTCAGGTTCTCAGGAGAAGCTGCTGTCAGAGGGTCGAGGTCTTGTGGGGGACTCCCCGAGGGATTCTGGCTGCTATGAGAGCAATGAAAATTTGGAAAATGGTAAAGATCCCTTTTGCTTAGTCCAGCTATTTCAACCCGATAAGAATTACTAAAGTTAGCTTCGTCACACCCTTACTAATTCCCTTTTTTCAGTTCTTTTCATTCCTGCTCCATTACTTTCTAAGCTTTTGCATAACTTCCTCTCATTGTCATTCCTCCAAATAAGCTTCATCCCTGAGTCTTGCTTTTTTTAACCTATCTCAGTGTGGGTGCTTAAAAGAAATAAATCTTTTCTTTTGCTTTCACTGCACTTTCTTCACCCCTCTTTCCACCCTGTAGGCGTTCTGTGCCGTCAGTGCCAAAGTCCGGTTGTAGCTGTGAGGGAACCTGCCTTCAGACCACTAAGCCTAGTCCACCCAACAATGTTGGGAGCACAGAGGGAGGGACTTGGCCCAGTATGCAGAACTGTTTTGATGAGGGCAAACTCTCTGCCTAGTTGTGGACACGTGTTTCCTACCGGCCCATATGTGGCTACCAGCTCCATAGGTGGATATCAGGAAGATGAACGTGAATAGAATATTGCTGCTGAGGGCTGTAAGGACGTGGCAGTTAGAAGCTAACAAAAAACTTGCAGTGTAGTGATGTCAGAAAATGTTTGTTTACTTCAAGTTTTAAATCTTGTAAGTTGATAAATGGTGCAAAGGGGTTCAGATCAGTGCTATGATGTAATCAAACTCACCTACTTTTGTGTTTATAGGTGAATACATATATATATTGCACAGAACTGTATGTGCCTAAAATGATGAAACTTTAGTATTATGCAGATTGTAAAAGTGATCATAAAAGACAAATTGAGTCTTATTTTTTGTTTTGTTATGTTTTTTTCTGGACACTATTCTCTGCGTCTGGCACCTTCTATCACTTAGTGCATCCATTATCTCAGCTCCATGACTCAAACTTCTGCTTGTCTCATTTCTGTTTCTTTACAGCTTCAGTGTAACTGCTACTTTTTATCATTTACTATTATTATTATTTTTTCCCTATCTCTAATGTCTGTCTTTTACAAGCAGCAGTAAATTGTGCAATCCACAACATAGACCTAAGAAGTTGCTCAATAAAAATATTAAAAGGGACTCTGGTGCTGCAATTTTTTTCTTATTTTTTGCCTCTTTTTCTGTCTGTTTGATTTCCTTTTTCATGCAACTAAGCTGTTCATAAACATTCTTTACATACTCTGCATCTCTTTCTGCAGGTTCAGGCTTCCTCAGTTGTGCTATACTTATCCACTTATTTTAATTTTATGATATGGTTGTACTTCTAATTAAATTTAGAGATGCGCCAATCAAAAATAAGGGAAATATTCATATCTCATATTATACCTGCTTATACAGATTTTAGACAATTATGGTGGAAAAAAATATGTATATTATAAATAATTCTTGCAAGTTGGAAATCCAGTGGGATTTGCTATTTTTTTGGTGCTGCCCTAATAGTAGGATAAACCAATATTACGATTTATTTCCTCCCATATTACATTTAAAAACCAAACGATACAAACTGTCAAACAAAAAAACTTATACTATGGATATATTGGACATGAAACTCATGGCTGCCCAGTGACCGAAATACTGCCTTCAGGGGAAAAAGGGTCGTTTTCATATTTCTGAAAGGTAACTGGAAAAATCAGACCTCTGAATATGACTTCTGTTTTGTATTTTTCCCAAAAGTCACTGTTGAAGTCTTGTTTGTTTTAATACCAATAGAATCTTCAATCTTTCAGTAAAAGGCGATCTTAGTGAAGATTTCCTACCCTTGTAACAAAGATTTTCAAAGAGAAGATAATATGGTTTTCTTTTTATTGTTGTGCCTCCTCTGAGTTAATGGAAAGGGCTGCTTGAGTCCTCTCTCTGCAACAACTTCTACAAAAACATTCCTCTACTCGACGTGTTATCAAAGTTTGTATAACTCAGCGCTATGCAAAGTTTAACTTCTAAAATGGCTGCTAAAGATGTAAATTATTTGAAATATTATTCTATATATAAGTTTTGCCATTCTACAGTCTCTGATCCTCATTTTTACAGATATTCTCATGTCAAACTACAGGGAAAAAAAACATAATAATCTTTAATTAGCATGTTTCGCTATTAGGAATTAACACCACAACAACCAATTCCACTGGTGTTTTCACTTTCAGTTACATTGCAGTAGGGTTGTCATGATACTAAAATTTTCAACTCGATACCGATACTCAGGAAAATATTCGATACTTTGATACCACAAGTATAAGAACAAAGACCCCAAAATTTAACAGAAATACTTTCATTAATAAATGAAATAAAAAATAAATAAATGAATACAATAAACAATAAGAACAATTTTTTGAGGTTGTATGCTGTGCACAATATTAAGCAAGGTTGATTAAAAAAAAGCTAAGAAAATTAAGTTTTCCTTCCTTTGCTATGCTCTTAACACATAACAATGACACTAGCCAAAATTATCAGCAGCTGCACTTGTTACAAAAAAAATCTGAAAATGAAAAGTGGACAGAATTATTCAATCACACAGTGTTCATAAAGTGCATTTCCCTCTATTCTGCACTTTAGATGAATGATTGTTTAGGGGCCACTAGTGGTAGAACTGTATCAATACTTTTAAAAATGAGTATCGTATCCGGATACAATGTTTTAGTATCAATACTTTTTTGAGCATCGATACTTTTGACAACCCTACAATGCATTCATCTGTGGTGTGATTTTTCCCACATCTGACCTCCAAGGTGAATATTGACAATATCTGCAGTATAACCTGTGTTTCAAGCAAAACAGTTGAAACATTTTTTTTTGAGTTTTTCTAATTTGCCACCATACTGTCTGGTTTCAGCCAATCAAGTTCGCTGTGCGTTGTTGATTTAAATTTGGTCTGATCATTTATTAAATTTGAATAAATATTTACATATAATCAAGTGTTTCATTGGAAAAATTAAAAAAGCACTAGTACTTTGGAGGCCTGAACTTTTTTATCAAAAAAGTTTTCTTTAGCTTACATGTTTTATTTCTGGGCTAATCAAATCTTCATGTGAACTCATTAATGGATGATGGTCGCCATACAAAACCTAGTTACAAAGGTGTTTATTAGCTTTGTTTATGTTTTGATTTTTTTTTTAATATACAGAATTTGCTAAGAATTGGAATTGAATTGAGTATTCAAAGAAGATCCTTTTTTTTTTTTTTTTTTTATCAAACATGAGCAGCAATGCCAGAATTTAAATGTTAATTTTATCACTGATTATTCTCTGGTGTAAGTTACAAAAAAAAACTGAACTGTATGATCTAACGTTTTTTTAATGGCCATAAATAATGGAACAAATTCGTCATCCAGCTGTGGAAAATCTGTTGGTAAACTGTTTATAAACCCTGCAGCTAAACATTTATATTTAACTTCAAAATGCCGAGGGCTACCTAAAGATTATATATCTCACATGGCATTATTTAAATTGATGTGGTTTTTCTCCATTCCATCCATCCATCCATTTCGCTCTGTATGCATAAGGATAAGCGGTAAGTTATTTCATCCTTTTGTTCCACTTTTTAAAAGTGTCCCATATGAGTATCTTAATGTGGAACTTGCTGTTTTGGCAGCAACGAAAAGACTTTGTGTCAAAAATCTCATCCAATCCCAGTGGCGATAGTATGAGCGTTTTTTATTTATTTATCTGTGGATTGGAGATAAGCCTCGAGTGAAAATGATGATCATGTTGAACCACTTTGGCATTTAAATTTGTAAAATAATATTAAGCCACTATGCAGTATTTGCACTTACATTTTTACACACCATTTGCTTAGTTTTTTTATCTAAAAATTCATAGGAAAGAAAGCAAAAATGCCGTTATAAATACATTGTATTTCTAGCAACTTTTTCAGACAAACTAAAAATAAAACATAGTATAAAAATGTCATGATAATATAATGAGCCAAAAGGGCCATTAAAGGATGAATAAATCATCAACTTTTTCTTTGAATATGCCATGAAACTATATGAAATAAATAGGATTGATGAATAAATAAATACTGTATGTGTGCAGAACTATTTAAAATGGTCACTATTTTATTTAATCCGGAAATTTTGTAATTATTAACAATAGTTTTATTTTTTGTCTCTTTAAAGAAAAAATTAAGTTTACCTTAATAGATTACCTAAAGTTAATAGATTACCATAAAGTTTAAAACCCCTAGAATATGAGCAACAGTTCAAAGCAACATTGTAGAGATAAATGAAAAACATATAAATGAAACAATCACAGTAGAAATGCATAAAAAAATATTCTGTATGTATGCAAAGATTATATCTGTTCTACAGAGCACCATGAAATGCTAACCAATGACCAATTACTTTAACTAGATTAGAAAGACTGACAGAAAAAAAATCACTCATAATGTTGCATCAAAAAAATAAAATGATTAGATTAGATTTTATTTGGTAGATTAAAATCTATACTTGAAAATGCAATTGAATTAATTATCTTTGCATTTATTTAAAATCAAAATTTTAAATTGCGAAACTTTTACCCTAGATTTGAAGACAAAGTGGTTTGTTCACAATCAGAATAATTTGTGTATTGAATTTTAGTGTCCATAACTTTATTATTTTTCAAAATAAAACCAAAAAGTTAAAGTGGGTGTGAGCATCACTTTTAAGAAAGGACTTTTATTTTGCAGGCAAAAACAGAAAAGCATCCCGATCCAGTCGCTCTTCTGCTGAAATGCAGTCTTCAGACTACCCGACACTACCTATGACTCTTTCTACAGAGGCTCTGCAACAAAATGGCAAAAACCAGCGTTCCAAGTTCCCTAAAAGCTTGTTCATCAAGCCCTCCATGAAAAGCTTAAACTTGCTGGGATTCCGTAAATCCCACCGACGGTCCCCCATCCCAGCTAGCCGCAGCTGTGAGGACCTTGATGGCCCAGAGCAGCCATCTCAGCTCTGGAAGCGTTCTCATTCTCTGGGAGATCTGCACAGCCCCAAGCAGAAAGATGATCAGAATGTGGTGCTTATAAAAGCAAAGGAGGTGGCCAAATCTGGCAACAACAGCCAGGTCAAGGTTCATAGAGAAGGGAGTTCTCCAACCAAGAAAGGAACTCCAACAGTAAGTCCTAAAGGAAGGGCTGACAGACCTCCAATACCCTCCCAGCTTCCTCTCCGTTCCCAGTGTCCAACAGTCCAATCCCCTAAACTTCCAGAACCGCTCTCCAGTCCAACTCCAAGTCCTCCTGATTCTAGTGCAAGTGGTGAGAGGATCATCCTGACACATCCCAAAAAACCTCCCATTCCACCTCCTGTTCCCGCCAAAAAGTCCAGAGAAAGACTCGTCAATGGTGCTCGTCACCCGTCTCTCTCCCTGCCCTCCTCGCCTTCCCCCACCGCCTCGCCTACACACTCCCTAAATCGCTCCCAACCAAGCAGCCCCTTGATCCGCAGCAATAGCCCAAGCCCCATCCTCAGTGCCCCTGCTCTCCCTGCCAAGACCTTCAGCCCACCTCCCAGTCCGTGTGCCACCTCATCTGCATCATCCTTAGGTGAAGAACCTGGCTCCCCACCAGCAGTGCAGCCACCCTGGCTCTCAGATCTCGGAGGTAAAATGGCTGTGACGAGGAAACTGTCCCACACCAAGATGAGTCCTGATCTGCACACCCTTCTGGAGCAACGCCTGCAAGCGGAGGGCATTGATCTGACAGAGGAGCCTTACTCTGACAAGGTAAGAGGAACTACACAGCAAATACAAATTTAGAATATCAACTTATAAAAGTTTATACAGACAAATACTGTTAATCGGACATTTTACACACCGGTTTTACATTTCACTTCCTCATTAGCTAATATATTTTTATGTGAAACATTAGAGTCAAGAATGGTCAGAGAGAGCCCTTGTCTTCTTACTAAGAATGTAGACTTAAAAATTAAATATGCAGCAATTGTTTGTACGGAGCTAAAGCTTAAATCTAGGAATTACGTTGCATAATCTGACGATTTATCGTTGCAAGTCAGAAAACAGATGTGTGCCGTTAACTTACATGGGTCAATAAAGAAGCAAAATACTCAACGATCCTATGAAACTGGCATCATGGGATACCACCCATCCAAAGTGAACTTTTCACTTTTTTGTGTGCACAGTAGCCGTATTGGAGACTGATCTTAAGCATAATGGGGAAACTTTTCAGCCCCACAATTTTGGGAGGAATTCTTGTTGAGTTTCATAACAGGAACGGAAAAATTCTGACAACCAAACTGCACCATTAATACGTAAGTTTAAAATTGGTCCGCTTAACATCTTTAATTCTGTGTTTGCTGAAGGAAGAAATAAATTCAGCTTATTATACTATCATATTTCAATCTATTAAATACTCTTAAGAGAATAAACAGCTTTACGAGCTGTCATAATATAAGCTAAAGCAAATAGTTACCATTTAAATGCAAAGTAAAATATGTTCTTGGATTAGTTTAGTTTAAGTAAAACTCATTATTGAATTAATTATGTACATGGACCCAGTCACACTTTATATGAAAAGTTATGCTCCAACACACTTCTAGGCTGTACTTGTCAGGCGTCAATCTGTTTTTAGAACCCTGAGGGCTTAACTGAGTCATAATTTAACTACAACTCTCCTCCAAATTGTTATATGCTTTATGCTAATAAGATGCAGCTCAATAATGCAGCTTAAAGCTCAATTTAAAGCCTGTGTGTTTCTTTTTTGTTAGATACTTTGTGATGTCTGGCCATTTACTTGCCGTGAGGTTGTACAGTATGTGTGCTAGATAAAGATAAAGGCGCTGCCCAGCGCTGAGAAGCAAAAATCGTGGCTTTTGCCCTCTCTGTGATGCGGTTCACACTGTTAAGTTTATGGGCCCTATTTACTGAAGGCAGACGGGGTCGTAAAAACTTCTGGCTCTTACCAGACCCCAGGCTCAGCCCCTGAGAAATATTGGAAGCCCTAACACTGGCAGAAAAACAAACACAGATTCAAACAGACTGGGGCATCTAGGGATGAGGTGTGAAATATGGCCCTGGAGCTGAGAACAGCTCTGCTGGATTACGCTTTATCAGCAGTGAAAAGGCCCAAAGTTAAGAGGCTTGCTTTTGTTTTATGTCACTGTGAAATATTTACAACATAGAATCCAACTTAAAAAAATGCTGAAAAATAAAATGAATTTATATAGACACCCAGAGCAAGGTCATGCTTTCATATGTCTTTTCTTTTTTTATCTTTAACCTTAACCAATGTTAAGCCCTAAAGTTAAGGATTAGACACTGATAGGAACACTTCTTAGATTTATTCCTATAAGTTTAACATGTGACACCATTCAAATATGTTCTCTAAAGAAAGCCAGTGTTTATTGCATTTTTGAAATGGCATAGAACACATATATCAAAGTCAAGTTTTATCCACGCCCCCTTGGAAGATATTTAATTACCATTAGAACTGGCCCACAGGCCACGGCTGCTTGTGGGTGCTGCTGTGAATTCGTGGGCTACCGTTGCATTGTGGGGAATCTAGTGCAACACTACCGCACCAACACTACATTCCCCACAATGCAGCGGGGAAAACCTGATTGTGTTTTTCTTTCATTTAAATTTTTTTGATTGAAGACAAAATAAAAGGAGCCTGGATGGAGGAAGGGGTGATAGAGACGCACTGCAGGTGATAGAGACGGACATGCTGCTGAGTGAGAGGAAAGTGGAATCCTAACGATACTCTGATCGACACAGAGTGCTATTTACAGTCGCGGACCTCTGCCCTGTCTATGCTGTCTGTTCACCTCCCAGTATTCTGTGCGTGGCATGCGGATCCCACCTGCCCCTCACTCAGCAGCGTGTCCGTCTCTTACCTGCAGGATCAGCTCCGCTCCTCCCTCCATCCAGACTCCTTTTATTCTGGCTTGAATCAGCCTCTGCTGAAATCTTTAGTCTGTAGACTTTATGATTCTTCACTCCTTTTTGATATTGCTCTGATTTTTTTTTTAATAAA